AGTGACTTAGAAATAGAGAAAAATTTATAACACAATACAGAGATTCATTTGTGAAGTTTACAACGTCACAGGAATAATTGACGTAGATGCTGCCTGACTTCAACTACTCCTGAATTCTTACATGAATTCCGAAATCAGTGAAGAGTTCAACAGAAAAAATGTTGAGAACTTTCATGGTAGCAGTTTCCCACCAAGCAAGATTGAGCCTTTGCAGCAGTTTAAACCAGCTAATTACATCGTTAGTCTCTGGAGTAATGCCCATATGAAAGAGCCTATTATTTTCAGCCCTGAAAATAATAGGTGGACATTGGAAGATACACGATATCATGTTGAATGGTTCGATGGGGACCAATTACCGAGCTCTTCAGGAAGAATCAGGTATTCTTCTATCACTGAATTACTTACAAGATTTTTTTTTTACAGAAGAAGATACTGAAGATGATGATGAAGATATTCAATACCAACATTGGATAGATGATGAATTATCAAACATCAATGATGATGACTATGTGAATAAAAAAATATTTCGGAATTTCTATCCATGAATTTATTTTTTGCATATAACAAAATGCAATTGAATTACTATTCTATTAAATTGATTCGCGTTTAAATCATAAATTTACCAAGTTTATCCAATGAGAAACATTTTTCTAACTCAACAACGGTTCGTTCATAAGTTTCATTATGAGTTCAAATGTATATATTTTTAATCATGCAGTAATTATTGATATAATTGAGCGGGAACACATTTTACTTCATTATTAGTGAAGCTCCGTTAGAATATTAATAACAAATTTTACAAAACTAAGTTATAGAACTACCTAACAATCACGCTCGCGCTCATACACATAGCGAGTCTTTGAGTGTGTCTGGGGTGATGTTAGCCCCTCTAATTGGTCCAGCTGCTTTCAAAATTATTGAATTAGTTCCCTAAGGATCATTTATGAAAATCAAGATTGAGATTGTATATAAAGTTACATTATTTTTTTGAAAGCTTTAAAGCGTTTGGTAAAAATTACCGCCGCCGAAATGAGTCTGGCAGTATTGATTAAAAATTTTTAATAATATTTTTTAAAGATACATAAAAATTAGCACTGAGAATTTAAGAAAGGTGAGTACTATTTTTACCTACCTTTAGCACCTGAAACCTGTAAACTGGCCGTCGGCCCAAGCTAGCAAGTATGCATACACTCAAACTATATACTAACACTACGTTATTCTATACATTTCATTTCTAAGAGTAATGTTTGCGGTATAGTCGAAGTAAACGATATTGTGCATACTTAAAGTTAGCGGCACTCTGAAAGGCCAAAAAAACCAATACATAGAAATGAACCGCCTGCGAAGTAGTCCACGTGGACCGTAGAATTGGTGGTTCGTATTGGATATTTTTTACTAACCGAGTTTTATGATTGGCTGAAGAGTCATAAAATTGAATTTGAAAGTCACGGTGACGAATAGAAATCGGGGAATGCGGGTATGGTTATCGCCGTCGTGTTCAGTTCAGGAACTGACCGCGATTTGAGTGTTGAAATTCGATATTGGTGCAGTTATAATTATTTAACATTTTAGTTATCCGTTTAAAATGTGGTGTCCTTGGACAAGTGCTAATAGTAATAACGAGTGTGATAACAACGCAGACTTTTTCCAGTGTAGTGATTCCAATAGCGATGGTGAACAATGCGAAAAAGAGATACCAGTGAATAAGATTCGGATGCATTTGAACCTTATGAACGCAAGACGCGATGTGATACAGGATTACCAAAACTTTTAGATGTTCATCTAATAAAATCATTGAAAAAAACAATATACGACTGTTAGAAAGTTTTATTCGTTTCAATGTCCTGGGTTTTTGTAGCTCCATATCTCAATAAATAGAAGGCTCAGGATGTAGAGAGCACTCCAGATCACTAAGCCTAAGGATAAAGTGGGGAATGGGAAAAAATACCAGCGTGGTTCAAACAGAACTGGCTGGTATCTCAGTCGCCACAAAAGAAATAACCAGGAAAGAAATTTCTGGCAAAAACATAACAGTGTGCACTGGTGGCAGACAAGCCCTATTAGCCTTGAACAGACAACGTGTTACCTTAGGGCTAGTACTAGAGTCCATCAAGATTTAGCCAAAGCCTCGGTAGATAATAACATTATTCTGAGGGGGATTAAAGGGCACGACAGGAGTAAAGGTAATCGCATTGCCGACTCTTTAGCCAAGGAAGCGGCTGTACTAAGAATTTTAGGACCCAGTGGCACGTACGCCATGATGACTTCGCTTCCCAGCTTCGTCGCCCTGGGCGACCCTGGGAAGCTGGCGCCGAAGAAATATCTGGAAATGACCAGGAAAAATCTACGCTTAACAGTAGGATTTCTGACTAGCCACTGTCCACTAAGAAAACACCTCCATAATATGGGGCTAGTGGACACACCTCTAGGCAGGACGTGTGAACAGGAAGATGAAACTGTCAGGCATGTCCTATGCGAGTGTCCGGAGTTATCGTCAATAAGAGATTGTGTGTTCGGCGAGAACAACTCCTCGGGAGGATGTACATGGGTCACATGTGGCCTAAGTGCTGAGCGGCTTACACTCACCCTCCCTTTTCTACAGATACAGATCTCAATAGATATTTATTCTGTTGTGTCGTGGTTTACACTGATCGATATCGAATGTTGTACTCTATACTTCATTTTTAAATATTTGACTCTCGTCAGTTAATTACTATATGATGTCGTTAAGCGATTTTCGACCATATTTTCTCAACGAATTCTAATCAATCAGTCATTTAGCAATGTGTTAAACAACGACATTTGACAATGTCATTAATCAACAACGTTGCTTTGCGAAATTTCGATGCGGAGATTTTAGCCTTGTAGATCAGCCTCGAAGTGGTCAACCTACAGTAATTCAGAACGAGGATTTGAGGACCCTGGTGGGGACTGGGACGACAGAAGAACTGGGCGTTACCTCCTATGCGGTATTTGATGGTTCAAAACGTATTGGAAAGGTCAAAAAGTTCGAAAAGTGGATGCCCCACGATCTGAATGATCGACAGATATACTCACGATTCGAGCTCTGTTCTTCTCTGCTTTTGCGCAACCAAAACGATCCTTTTTTGGATCGGATCGTCACGGCAACAGGAGACGTTCAGAACAGTGGTTGGAGACCGATGCACTTCACTAAGACGAAAACCCACCAAAAAGAGGCCATGGTTACTGTATGGTGGTCAGCGACTGGTGTGATTCACTATAACTTCCTGCAACCGGCCCCAACCATCACAGCAGCGTTATATTGTGAGGAAATCGATAATTAAACGAACTGAGCTTCACCCACCATGCTCCCCAGACCTCTCGCCAAGCGACTACCATCTTTTTAATAAATTCGATGACTTTCTCACCGGTAGAACATTCGCCAACCAGGACCAGGCAAAAACTGACAAAACTTTTGAAACAACCTAATATTTGATATTCCTTCAGGTAAGTAAATCGATTATTCAATTGCCAATATTGAACCTTGTAGTCCAAATGTGTATTAAATATTTTCTTGTATTTACCCTTCACTCTGTATAACCTTACAGTTATAAAAGGAGACATGCAATAATAATTCATCTTCAATCTATTTTTGTCCTCAAAGGAATTACTTCCGATTTTCATAACCATACATGAGTTCAATCTATTAGTTGCAATGACACACGTACCTGCGCAACATTCCATCTGAGCATTCTATAATATCCTCCTACATCAAGGTTTATTGCCTTTTAAAACGGATCGATAAATCACATAAATTATACGAGGGACAGTTGATTTTTTTGGGGTCTTCTGTCTATAACACAATTGGATGCTGTTGTTGATGTGTTCCAATGGAAAGTAAATGTAAAGTTTCTGAACCCATAGACAGATAGTACCGAAAAAGTAGATATCGATAAAGATGACACGAAAATGATGAATTGATAAACAGAAATCTATGAAAGCAGTTGCTTGGATTGCTGTTTTGTACACTGTCCCGTGAAAGTCTCACAATAAAATGTCGCTTAAATATTTTTTATTCAATTATTGAAACATTTTTATAATGTTACTTTTCCTCCGATATCCTCTATTGCCGAGAGAGGGCTATCTTGTCTTGTAGCGCCTTCGCCAATATGACTCAACATCTAGTATTGCTTAGACTTTCAAGACAGAGAAAAATTTTTTCGTTTCGAACAAGACTAACAAAAAGAGTAAGAAAAATACATTTCAGAATCTTCACCTGGATGGCTTTCAAATGAATATTTCAAGTAAATCAAATATATTTTTCCATTATTCAAAGTTGACATGATATTCTAGAAAGATGTACTTATAACAGTCAAATTGAATCTGTCCATGCACATTTTATGAATAACGAATAAAAAATTGATTATTGAAGTGGAATTATCGACCTACTAAATGACCTGTTGATACCACTACGGGCCCTACAAATATTTAAACAATGGAATATTGGTATTAATTTACGTTTTTTTCTTAGAGACAAGTCACGAATATGGGACAAAGCAGATTTCAATACCAGATCACACAAAATTATTCAGCCATTTAAAAATAACGAAATACTCGTTATTGTGTGTAAGTAGCTTTGATTTGTATTGAAAATCGATTCAATTCTAATTGTTTAATTTAGTGGACTGTATGTACATCTGACTTGTTCAAAAGATAAAACAAAACCGTCGGTTGGCAACAAACTCACAAAGGTTTGAACGAACAATACAGTGTATCAAGTATATCAAAAGTAATACATTCTTCATGCAACAAATGATCACAAACACTCATAAGTATTTTCTTGGAAGTATCCAAAGTTTTTGATGGCCTAAATCACGAATATTCGTATCAGAAATATCTGGTTTTTAAACCTTCATGTACAATTTGTGTGATGGTTCATTTTGTGATTTACGATTTTTTTGAAAATGCAAAACATTCTCTGTGACATTATTATTAGTATCATCATATTCAAGTTTTGAAATAAAAAATCATATGCTCACCATAAATGGACGTTACGAGTTTGGCAGATGTAAACATAAGGTAGAGACCATAAACGGCCACTGCATGGAGATAGGCGAAGAGAATGATATTCCTCCAGACCAGAATCAGCTTCCTCTCGCTGGGTTTTACCACTTCCGGAGGGATAAAGTTGGCTGATACCTCGTCGTCGTGTTCGTGCAGAACTCCGGTAGGGATGTTTGAGGTGTTTGGCGCCATATTTGTTTGACTGGAATCCAAAAGAATTAATTAGTATGTCGAATTAATTAGTAAACACACATCTAAACATATTGTTATAAATCATGCCTTAAAGAAAATGAAGCCGGCCGCCACTGGTGGCCATAAACCAATTATGGCGTAGCTAAGAACGCGCGAATGTAATGGTCGCTGCCGCTCTAGACGCAGCGAGAATAATGCTACCGATTTTGATGGAATTTCGGCGAAATTTTCTTGCGCATTCAGTCAAGTGGAAGTTACAGTGCGGTACGCGAAGCCATCTATTAAGGCGATAGACATTCGAATAAAAGTTGAAGTGTTTATTGTATTTGAAGTGAAATAAAGTTAAGTTTGATTATGCAGTGTTAGTCAATTATTGGTTAACCCACGGGGAAAAACGTAACAATATGTACATATGTACAGTTAGTAACACAATATCCACATATTCAGATGAAAAAATCTATTGTTGAAAAAATACATCTGTGTAGCATTTCCTGTTCATAAATTTTCAATCGTGATTTGAAAATTGAAATATTGGAAAACGTTTCACAATCATGTCAGGCTTGTTGAAGTTTTCAGTACTTTGTAACAATTTTTACACGTCTGTCACGTCGTGACGTCACTGATGTGACGTCAGTTACTGAATTATTCTCTCGAATTTGCTATGGAAACACGAATTTTATGCACCAAATAAAACAACATTTTTTGTACAACTGTGAAGGTGAATTTACATTGTCTGGAATATATTAAAAATAAATATTTCTTGGCGTGGTTTTTTGTGGCGATAACTTATCGCTTTTAAACGACTTGTCTTGAAAATATTATTCAATGTTTTCAGTAAAATCTTATTCAAAAATTTTCCTGTCTGAAAAAAATAAGTTCAAAATAACTAAATAATACTTCTCTTCAATTTCAAGTTACTTTCAAGAAGATGTATGTTGATCATATTAGTGGTAGTGATACCCCATTAGATATATCTAAGAAATTATAAAACCTTCTACGTTATGGAGTATCTATTCAATGTTGAAAAGTACACTGAATGTTAAAGAAAATATTGATATAAGAAAGTTTTCAAAATTGGTTCCGCCCATTAAGAACAAAGGCGTCGGATACCACGAAAAGAAATCTAAAGTTTTATCAAGGGATGATATCAATAAATTTATTCAAGATGCTGATAACGAAACAAATTTATAAGGTACAGATATAGGTAATCATAATTTTGTAAAATTAGTAGGAATTTCAATATTTTTTATTTGTAGGTTGTCCTAATTTTGACTATTGACTATTAAAGTACCTGATACGAAAACCTATTGCATAAGAAGGTTTACTGTTTCAAATTCTGATCATATTGACAGATTTTTTGAAATAATCAAGAGGAGTATGTATCAAACAACATGTGGAATTAAATAAAATAGGAGAAATTCCCAGCTTGATTGCAAACTGGTGTAAGAGCTACATAGGTCACTGTTTCAGGAGAACCTCTGTAACTCTTCTGGCCATTGCAGGGGGCAACATTACATAGCAGATGCATATACAGGGAGTAACTGAATAAATTTAAAACATTTAAGGAGGTGATTTTTCATCAAAAAAAGATAGGATCTTTCATAAAAAGAAACTTCATTGGATCATCCCTTGTTAAGATACAG